TCTATCACACGAGTTTAACAGCAAGGACACCGTCCTTTGCTGGCTCCCCAGTCATGTTGATATTAAAGGGAATGATCAAGCAGACTTAGCTGCCAAGTCTGCTTTAGATCTTCCCATATCACCATTTCTTTTAACTTTCACCGATTTTAAATCGTCCATTAAATTATTTATATATGACCGCTGGCAACGGTCTTGGGATCTTGCAGACACAAACAAACTTCATCACATTAAGCCTTTCTTAGGTGACTGGCCCAACTCCTATAGAACCAACAGGAGGGATGAGGTTGTTTTGTGTTGCTCTTGCATTGGTCATACCTTTTTAACTCATATTTTCATTTTGAAGCGAGAGCCTCAACCAGAATGTATTCACTGTCATGTCCCTTTGACAGTAAAACACATCTTGATTGAGTGCACACATCTCAAGTTTTGTAGTACTCAGCTATTTGCTTAACCGGAGCTATATGATAAAGTGCTAACATTTTTAAAAGAGACAAACTTTTATTCTAAATTTTAATTGTATAAATTTAATCATAAATCTTGTTTTTAAATATTTATATATGTAAAAGATTTGTTATATTTATTTTTAATTTTATTTTCTGTGATATTTGTTTTTATTTACATATATAAATTCATTTATGTGATATCATTTTAATTTGTCTCGTTAGATTCACCATATGTTTGTCGCAATATAGCCCGGTTGGAGCTGACGTGCCATTAAACAACATTTCATTTCATTTCATTTCCTTTTTATACGCCCACATGGAAATGTGGTCGTATATTGCCGATCTGTATGAAAATTATATGCATCATTTAAATTAATAAAACAAAGAAGCCTATTGAATTTCAGCAATTTCCGTTAATTACATCTAGAGTTATGGCGCTTGTTTCACTTTGTTGAATCTTGTGAATGCTCTAATGACAAGAGTTATCATCCGATCTCTTTGAAATTGATATGCATCATTTAAATTCGTGAAACGAAGAAGCCTATTGAATTTCAGCAATTTCCATTAATTACGCCGTGAGTTATGGCCCTTGTTTCACTTTGTTGTACCTTGTGAACGCTCTAACGACAAAAGTTATCAACCGATCTATATGAAATTTATATGCATCATTTAAATTAGTGCAACGAAGAAGCCTATTGAATTTCCGCAATTTCTGTTGATTACGCTATGAGTTATGGCCCTTGTTTCACTTTGTTGTACCTTGTGAATGCTCTAACGACAAAAGTTATTATCCGATCTGTATGAAATTTATATGCATTATTTAGATTAGTAAAACGAAGAAGCCTATTGAATTTCAGTTAATTTACGCCGTGAACGTTCAAACAACAAAAGTTATCATCTGATCTGTATGAAATTTACATGCATTATTTGAATTAGTAAAACGAAAAAGACTGTCGAATTTCAACAATTTCTGTAGATAACTTCCAGAGTTATTTCCCTTGTTTTAGTTTTTAAGGTCATGAGGCGAAGATGCCTTTTGATTTTCAGCGATTTCCGATAATTACTGCCAGAGTTATGGCCCTTGATCACTTCAAAAAATCTTGTGGACGCTCTAGAGGCTAAAGTTAATATCCGATTGACTTTAAATTTACACACAGTGTTGAAGGTCATGAGATGAAGAAGCCTATTGATTTTCAGTGATTTCCGATAATTACTGCCAGAGTTATGGCCCTTGATCACTTCAAAAAATCTTGTGGGCGCTCTAGAGGCCAAAGTTAATATCCGATTGACTTTAAATTTATACACAGTGTTTAAGGTCAGGAGACGAAGAAGCCTATTGATTTTCAGCGATTTCAAAAATAATTACTGCCAGAGTTATGGCCCTTGATCACTCCAAAAAATCTTGTGGACGCTCTAGAGGCTAAAGTTAATATCTGATTGACTTTAAATTTATACACAGTGTTTAAGGTCATGAGACGAAGAAGTCTATTCATTTTCAGCGATTTTCAATAATTACTGCCAGAGTTATGGCCCTTGATCAATTCAAAACATCTTGAGGCCAAAGTTAATATCTGATTGACTTTAAATTTATACACAGTGTTTAAGGTCATGAGGTGAAGAAGCCTATTCATTTTCAGCGATTTTCGATAATTACTGCCAGAGTTATGGCCCTTGATCACTTTGAAAAATCTTGTGGACGCTCTAGAGGCTAAAGTTAATATCCGATTGACTTTAAATTTATACACAGAGTTATGGCCCTTGATCACTTCGAGAAATCTTGTGGACGCTTAAGAGGCCAAAGTTATAATCAGATTTTAGTATATTATAAATGTTTCATTACCGAAAATTAAAAATATCTGACAACTCTTGTTGACTGCCCGGACGATTTAGATGCTGTGGGCATATGTTTCGTTGCCTGTCAACCTATATTTTTTATATGTAAACATGTCGTCCGCTTTTATTAGTACGTGGGATTTGACTCCATAGAAAGAGTGGACCAACACCCTGGTATAGTTCAATTCAAATTTTGTAAAAATCAGACCGAAACTGCTTGACAAAATGGCAGCTCCTTGAAAGCAAATAGTGGAAAAGTATGTAATACGAAGGGTGTGGACCTACTAGAGGTCACATTTTTTTTCCTATTTTGATGAAACTTAAAAAAAATGTTTATACCCGAAAGATCTCAGTTCCTTTGGATATTTGCACACATCAGACCATAACTTTCTGGATTATGGCCCCTAATTGTACGAAAAAATCACATTTTTAGCTTGTGGATCCTCCAGAGGTCACAATTTTTTTCTGATTTTAAAAAACGTTTAAATATATCGCCATTACACCATAGCGAGGGTTGAGTTTGAATTTTGGGAAAATCAAAATGAAACTTCCCGACAAAATGGCCGCTCATTGTATGCAAATTGAATGCGAAGATTGTGGACCCTCTAGAGGTCACAATTTTTGTCCAATTTTGATGAAACTTAAAATATATCTTTATATCTCAAAAGTCTGAGTCCCTTTCGATATTCGCACGTCTCAGACCATAACTTCCTGGATTGTTCTCTATCCATCTCTTTCAAAATGTGGGCGTATCTTGCCTGCAACCACTGGTTATTTTTGTCCCCCGCCTTTCGAAGAAAGCAGGGGACTATTAAAATGGGTTCGTCCGTCTGTCTGTCCGTCTGTCTGTCCGTCCGTCTGTCTGTCCGTCACACTTTTTGGGACACAATAACTCTCTTCCTAATTGAGCTAGAATGTTCAAACTTGGTGTATGTGTTTATTAGGTCAATGCCTTGATGGAGTTCGAAGATGAGCATTTTCCGCTTAGGGTAAGCAGAGATAAGCAATTTGATTGGTTGATGCTTTGGGACACGATAACTCTCTTCCTAATTGGGCTAGAATGTTCAAACTTGGTGTATGTGTTGATTAGGTCAATGCCTTGATGGAGTTCGAAGATGAGCATTTTCCGCTTAGGGTAAGCAGAGATAAGCAATTTGATTGGTTGATGCTTTGGGACACGATAACTTTTAATTGAGCTAGAATGTTCAAACTTGGTGTATGTGTTTATTAGGTCAATGCCTTGATGGAGTTCGAAGATGAGCATTTTCCGCTTAGGGTAAGCAGAGATAAGCAATTTGATTGGTTGATACTTTGGGGCACGATAACTCTCTTCCTAATTGAGCTAGAATGTTCAAACTTGGTGTATGTGTTGATTAGGTCAATGCCTTGATGGAGTTCGAAGATGAGCATTTTCCGCTTAGGGTAAGCAGAGATAAGCAATTTGATTGGTTGATGCTTTGGGACACGATAACTCTAGTTCTAATTAAGTGAGATTGATGAAACTTGGTGTATAGTTTCATTACAGTAATACCTTGACTAAGTTTGATAATGAGCATTTTCTGCTCAGGGTAAGCAGCAATTTGATTGGTTGATACTTTGGGGCACGATAACTCTCTTCCTAATTGAGCTAGAATGTTCAAACTTGGTGTATGTGTTGATTAGGTCAATGCCTTGATGGAGTTCGAAGATGAGCATTTTCCGCTTAGGGTAAGCAGAGATAAGCAATTTGATTGGTTGATGCTTTGGGACACGATAACTTTAGTTCTAATTAAGTGAGATTGATGAAACTTGGTGTATAGTTTCATTACAGTAATACCTTGACTAAGTTTGATAATGAGAATTTTCTGCTTTCGGTAAGCATAGCGATACGCAATTTGATTGGTCGAGACTTTGGAAAACAATAACTCTCCTACTTTGATTGTTAGACTATAAGTAAAGATATACTGTTTGATTGTTCAATACTTTGTAAAAGATAATTTGTGATAAATTTATATGTGTCCTCTAATTATTTTCCTATTTCGGCGGGGGACATCAGCCTCACTGTTGGCTTGTTAATATACAATTCTCTTCCCCTGAGTGTTCCAACTTTGGATTTATATTTAGCCTTACAACCCTGTCACGGGTGTTGCCTCAACACCCTTGTCTATATGCTATCCCTTTATTGTTATGATAAGTAACAATGTTACAATCCAACAAAAGGAACTAGCACTTCAATCTAAACAATCAGTTGTCAAACCTCTGTACAACCCTGGTAAGCGACCTACCGACCCAAGTTATAAATTTGCAAACCCCACCAAGAAGCCAACACTGGTAACCCCGCCAATAGTAACCATGGAAACCCTGCCACGGTTTCGGAATAGTATGAATAAAAAAGCTAGAGCTAGAGAGGGGACTAGAGAGAGAGAGAGGGGGGCGTGGGAGGGCTAAAGAGAGATATTGATAGGCGGAAAGTGCGCTAAAGAGAGACAGAGATTAAGGTCCACTCGCCACAAACTAGGCCATTTCGGGACTAACATATGGCTCAATTTTATTTCTTTAATTTGCTTGCACATAGGGGTGTTTAGCAGTAGGAGGAAACCGGAGGACCCAAAGAAAGTCCTCAAAGTTGGACAGGCCACGAACCACTCCACTTGACTCCTTGACCGACCTTGTGAGATCTTTGTGGCCATTATTCTAAATTCGAGGTCCACAGAAATAATTTCAAATTTGTTTTGAATGTTCCAGCAATTTGTACAGAACCCTCAGATGTTGGTCCATGTCGTGGAAATTTTGAACGGTGGTATTACAATAAGACAGTCGAAAAATGTCAATCATTCAGATACGGTGGTTGTCGTGGAAATGAAAATAAATTTGAATCAGAAGGTGAATGTGTAGAATATTGCCAAGAACACATGGGTGAGTATCTTCTGAGTATTTTTATATCTGGGAAATGTATGAAACCATCAACGGGATTGTATTATTGAAAATGGGCCCTTAATTGTAAATAGACATATCTTTAGATGTGCAAAACACCTTCAAGTCAAATTTAAAATTTTCTCTTATGTAAAAAGTTGATGACAAGAAAATTAATGGAAAACCATTTTATTAAAAAATACGTTCCTTGACTTAATAGTCAATAAGTAACAATTGGCCATTAACTTAATTAATTTTCTTAATCTATCCCTTTATTATCTTCCATTCATTGTTCCTAAATTGTACCCATTTACAACAGTGTTACTATGTAAATATGTATAAATGTACTATGGTGTCTATCTTTATGCAATAACATTATTTATGAATAGTTCCAAGACCGACGAAAAGTACTTCAAAAATATTAAAATATGTCAATGAATACTTAACACTACAAATATGGTATCGTTTAATATGGGGTTTTTAGCGTTGGTTACTATTCATAAAGTTTAATTTCAAAACCCTGTTCGATAATTGATAAAAATCGTTGAAGAATAACAAAAATGGTTTAATTAGTACTATGGTTTAGATTAATGTCACCGGCTTTAGTTTCTCCAAGATGCGTTTAAAAATGGACTACCCGTGCACTTAACTATGGCGTTTATTTATTGGACGAGCCGTTGAATTTCCCTAGATGCGTTTAAAAATAGACTTCCCGTTCAATTATCTAGGGCGTTCATTTATTAGACTAGCCGTTGAATTTCCCTAGATACGTTACATCGTGTTTTGCCATGCTTCCCGCAAGGAATTCGCGAGAAGCTAGGGTCGAAATAATATTGTCTATAATTAATTGAAAGAGTTGTAATACAGTAATGCTGCTGCGAAAACATGTACATGTATGATGTACAGGCTGGTTTGAACAACAACAAAATGAGTTAGGTAATCTCGGGAAAACATTTACCGGCATTCTGTATCGGTAAATTTATATAACGTCGGCCAAAATGTATGCAACAATGAACAACTTACAATTTTTTAAAACGTATCATTACATCTTCGTCTATAACTTAGATGTAATCCATCAATTATTGGCTGCTATAAAATCCAAACTTTAAATTATATACGTCATACGATGAGCTATTACACATTACTTGCAGCTTCAGTTAATCTAAATCAATCATTCATAGAGCACAGTGCTGTATATCACTACACGGGGTGCTTAACGGTAAGTCACGTGGTCAGAAACGCGCCAAAAGATTGGAACTATATTCTTACTCTGTGTTACTCGGCAACAAATCTCTGCTGTGACAATATACATCTACTTTAAATGTCACCCAATTCATTTCGGTGGAAGCGGATATTGAATAAAGCCATTTCACACACACACATACGTTTACATTACATGCACATGTCATATATTTATACAATGTCCACGAGTGTGTTACATGTAATTCTCGCCTTCACTCCGTTATTTTCAGTAGCCTACACTTTCTGAATGATTCCATTCTTTTGTACGAATGCATGATCACTCGGATCAACTAATAGACCACTCGGACGAAACAAAAAGACTACTCGGACCATACAAAAGGACCACTTGGACCAATAATAAAGTGTTGTTTTTTAATAAGTTAATAATTGCGTTTGTATTAATATGACTACTCGAATCAATAATAAAGTGTTGTTTTAATTGTTGTTTTAATAAATTGATAATTGTGTTTGTTTTAATATGCATACATTTTCTTTGAAATAATAAAGTGTTATGTACTTACCCGTGGCATTGTTTCAGCATGAAGCACATCTAAGAAAATCGGTTAAAACAACGATTAATTTGTATGTATCTGTACTCACACGTGTCACTAGCTGCAATATTTGTAGCCGTGATAATTCTTAAACACGGCTACAATTGATTCACTATTCGAGGCTTTTGGCAAGTAAAATAAGGTTCAATTGCAAAATGATCACAGTTTGCATGGAAATAAGTAATTATGTTACAAATGGTAAAGACTTGAACACTGAAATCTTAATCTTATCTTACCAAACAGTTATTCTGTATTTTCGAGCAAGACATTAGTACTGGACTACTCGAACTAGTGTTGTTTTAATTGTTGTTTTAATAAATTGATAATTGTGTTTGTTTTAATATGCATATGTTTTCTTTGAAATAATAAAGTGTTATGTACTTACCCGTCGTATTGTTTCATCATAAAGCACATCAAAGAAAAACAATTAAATTGATGTAATAAAGATATATATTTGCTAATATGTACTTAACGGCAGTGGATATTCTTAAGTTATGTATATACTCACTTATAAATTGTTCTCCACTTGTATTGTGATTTAATCATGAATAACATATTGTCTGTATTATATTTTTAAAATGAATAAGTCAAGCCTTATAATGTAATTTAATTGGTCCGTGTGGGCCTTTGGGTTGGTCCGAATAGCAAAGATAAATATGGGTCCGATATTATGCAATATCGATGCAGGTTTGTTTTTTTTTTCTCGTTTTTTTTCTAACAATATTTATTCAATATTTACATATTATAAAGATACAATATTCAATTATTGGATCTGAAAACAAGCCAAAAAGATATATAAATGCATTGTTTATAATTATAATCACGATTTACATACAATTATAATTACAAAAGCAAATGCAGGTTCAATCAAGAAACTTGCATGTTCACCGTGAGCTTCTGATATCTAGATTTTAAAGCTTATAGATTGCAGTTACACAGGGTACATGTATATGCAGTAGGAAATTGGGAATTTGGACGTACAAAAGAATGGAATCATTCAGAAAGTGTAGTCAAAATAAGAGAGTGAAGGCGAAAATTACATGTAACACACTCGTGGACATTGTATAAATATATGACATGTGCATGTAATGTAAACGTATGTGTGTGTGAAATGGCTTTATTCAATATCCGCTTCCACCGAAATGAATTGGGCAACATTTAAAGTAGATGTATATTGTCACAGCGGAGATTTGTCGCCGAGTAACACAGAGTAAGAATATAGTTCCAATCTTTCGTCGCGTTTCTGACCACGTGACTTACCGTTACCCATGTAGTGATTTACGGCACTGTGCTCTATGAATGATTGATTTAGATTAACTGAAGGTGCAAGTAATGTGTAAAAGCTCATCGTATGACGTATATAATTTAAAGTTTGGATTTTATAGCAGCCAATAATTGATGGATTACATCTAAGTTATAGACGAAGATGTAATGATACGTTTTAAAAAATTGTAAGTTGTTCATTGTTGCATACATTTTGGCCGACGTTATATTAATGTTCAGTGCGTTAGAAAAAAATCCTAACCGATACAGAATGCCGGTAAATGTTTTCCTGAGATTACCTAACTCATTTTGTTGTTATTCAAACCGGCCTGTACATTATACATGTACACGTTTTCGCGGCAGCATTACTGTTTTACAACTCCTTAAATTAATTATAGACATATTATTTCGACCCTAGCTTCTCGCGAATTCCTTGCGGGAAGCATGGCAAAACACGATGTAACGTACCTCGGGAAATTCAACGGCTCGTCTAATAAATTAACGCCCTAGATAATTAAACGGGGAGTCCATTTTTAAACACATCTCGGGGTAATTCAACGGCTCGTCCAATAAATGAACGCCATAGATAAATGCACGAGTAGTCCATTTTTAAACGCATCTCGGAGAAACTAAAGCCGTTGACATTAATCTAAACCATAGTACTAATTAAACCATTTTTGTTATTCTTCAACAATTTTGATCAATTATCGAACGGGGTTTTGAAATTAAACGGTATGAATAGTAACCAACGCTAAAAACCCCATATTAAACGATACCATATTTGTAGTGTAAAACATATGTCTTTAAGAGATAAACATTACCCTAATCGAACCTTGGGTTATTTCACATATCGATCGAGGGTATTAGGGTAATATTTGTATGGAAGCCTATAACTACCATTCATAATTTCTAATAAATGAACGCCATAGATAAGTGCACGAGTAGTCTATTTTTAAATGCATCTCGGAGAAACTAAAGCCGTTGACATTAATCTAAACCATAGTACTAATTAAACCATTTTTGTTATTCTTCAACAATTTTGATCAATTATCGAACGGGGTTTTGAAATTAAACGGTATGAATAGTAACCAACGCTAAAAAACCCCATATTAAACGATACCATATTTGTAGTGTAAAACATATGTCTTTAAGAGATAAACATTACCCTAATCGAACCTTGGGTTATTTCACATATCGACCGAGGGTATTAGGGTAATATTTGTATGGAAGCCTATAACTACCATTCATAATTTCTACTTTTCACCTCTTCAGAACGCAAAAGTGGAAAAGTCGAAAAGTAGAAGTTACGACAAAATGTGAGGCGACAAGACGGTATACAAGCCAAAATAAACTCGAAAATAATAGGAAATTAAGAAATAATACACTGCGATAATAGCGCCCCTCGCTTTTTCCTAATTTCTTATTTTCGACTTGCATTTTGGCTTGTTTACCGTCGTGTCGACTTTCGACTTAGTCATATTTTTGTATTTATTGATGTCTGTAAGAAGGCGCCAACACACTATACGAGCCAAAATCAACTCGAAAATAGGAAATTAAGAAATAACACACCGCGATAATAGCTCCCCTCGTTTTTTCCTAATTTCTTATTTTCGACTTATATTTTGTCTTGTATACCGTCTTGTCGACTTTCGACTTAGTCATATTTTATAAAACAAATTTCCCGTACCGGTATATACAATATACAACAACTTACAAAATCTGTCTTATATGGGGATTGGGTAGTTTAAAACGTGCACGTGAAATCACAAGGGTTGACATTGATTCAAGTGGTGTGGTTTCGCTTGTCCAAACTTGTGGATTTTCTCCGGATACCCCAGTTTCTATCCTCTTCTAAAGACCCCTACGTGCAAACGAATTATTGAAATGATTTAGTTTGCAACGAGTGGATGTTAAGCCAGCCTGGAGCTCGGGTGTTCGATCCCTGCA